GAAACCTCCCCAGTGGACCTCTTCAAGGCACCCTAAGGATGCTACCCTAAACCCTGAAAGTTTAGGGTTTAGGGTCTAGGGTTTAGGGTTTAGAGTTTAGGGTTTAGAGTTTAGGGTTTAGGGCCCCTAAACTTTAGGGTTTAGGGTTTAGGGCCCCTAAACTTTACGGTTTATACAGCCCCTATATATACTATACTACGACGCAGGCGTGTCATGGCCCATGAAAACCCAACGTATCTCAACCATAAACCTAAATTATCACCTTGTCAGAAAGCCTATTGCAATCGTAAAAGGCCCCCTTGTTCTTGGCTCCCAAGCTTGCTTTAGGGTTTTATTGCTTATCGCTTTCGGGTTTTACGGTTTAGGGTATGTGGTTTAGTGTTTGGGGTTTAGGGTTTGGGACTGGAGTTTACGACGAGGGTTTGTCGTAGTGGGCTTGTTTGCAATGGCTCTGGGCTTCTAAATATCTTCCTTTACAACCCATCTCCGTTTTGGTAGGAATTGCAGCGCAATACATGACCCATGTCTCATGAACTGCAAGAGCCCTTCACCGGGGATTCCGGAAACCATTGTTGTGTGAGCAGTCTTTTGGGGGATCTGCGTGACCTGTACAGTACGAGTAGGTCTTGAAGCCCACAAGCCTCGAAAAACCCGCCGACCGTAGCGAAACCCTTACATCGCGAACCTCTCTGGCTAAACCCTAAAACCCTAAAACTACATAACCTTTTTCGCATATGTAGAGCCTGCTATCAAAACCTGGTAAATCGATCAAGCTAAAGCTCTACACGCCAAGCCTAAAACCCTTACAAAACAGAAGTTTCACCACCAAAAGGTGAACCTTATCTCAGTGAGGGGTTGGGACAGGCATGCCTGAGTAGTTGACCTGCATGTTTTCGGGTTTGGGATTTCTGGAACAGACTCCTAGGAAACATAGTTATCATGTCCCTGATCCTTTTGATCCTAGAAACGCACACAAACGTCGACTTGAGCACCTTCTTCGGAGTAAAATCTTTAGGACCTTTCGGGCACCGTTTCCTTTTTGAGAGAGCCCAGCATGCAAAGCACATGCAGCGAGAAACATGCTGGAATCCAGACTTTCCCGAAGTTGGTGGCCTCATGGTTTAGGGTTTAGGGTTTATAGGGTTTAATGAGGCAGCACACACAGCAAATCGGGAGCTGCAAAAGTGGAGGCAAGCCGCGCAAGAGGATTCCAGTCTGAAGCAGCACTGTTCGTAGATGGCTCATCCTAGTCTCTGCAAAGTCCAGCTCGGCTGAAACGAAGCTTACAAATAACTTGCCTAAGTTCCTGCTCTGCAGTGCTCCCTCTCCTTCTCCTTCTGCTTGCGCCAAGCCACGGCCTGCTTCCAGGACTTCCCCACCTCCTTCGCCGAGAAATCCTTGGGGCGAAACGTCATGTGCTTGTTGATTCCTGACCCCACATTGGGCATGCCAGCCCTGCTCGCAGCGGTTCCACTTAATCCCCTTCTGCGGCCCGAGGGGCTCGAAGTGCAGGAGCTCTGAGAGCGGTTTCACCGGCACCACCACCTCCTGCAGCCCCAACTCCCTGGCCAGCTCCCGAGCCTTGGCCTCCGCCTCCTCCTTCACCTTGAAAACGCCACCGTAAACCTTCTTGCTAGTGGAAGGGTCCCGGAGCTGTACATGATAGCGCCCTCTTCTTTTATTGTAGACAACGCCCCTCAGCCTGGAGCCAGATGCTTTTGCCGTCAAAGGCCTGAGCTTCCCCTGGCGCACGAGCTCCTCGCGGAAAGCCTTGGCCTCATCGAGGGCGGCCTCCACGGCCTCGGCCTCTACGAGCCCGAGCTTCATGTGCTTGGAGATGGGAAACGTTAGGTTCTTTTGCTTGCCTGATACCTCCCAACGGACACGCCAGCTTGCCGTTGCTCTCTGCCAGTAGATTTTCTGGATGCCGCTCTGGCGCTCTAGTGAGCGGAAGAACTTCGTGACGATCTGGCCTTCCTCGGCTCGCGGCCCAGCTCGGCTCGGTGGCTCGGCAGGCTTCTCGCCACGCTCTGGGACGCAGCCGGCGGTGGAATCTGTATTGAAGAAGGCATGATTTGGGTTCTTTCGGTAGAAGTCCTGCAGCTCACTCAACTCCTCTTGGCTCAGGAGCTCCACGCACGGCCTCGCTTGTTGATTTGCAGGCTCCTGCCACAGAAATAAGCTGGCGGGACAGCAGGCCTGCCTGGGCCCCCACTTCTTGCCAGAGGATTGAAATGCTATGCATTTCTCGCCCCACTGCGCCAGTCGCAACTCGAAGGCGAGGCTCTTCTTGCTGATGCGACGCCTCTTGGCGGCGTGCATGGGCCCAGCCTGCTCGAGGTCTTCCCGTTTAGCCCGGGCACTGCGGGTGAGCATCCACCATCTCGCATTTCAGGCCTATCTGGGGCTTGCAATTGCGTTAAAATGGGTTTAGGATTCAGGATCTTAGAGAGTTTTCGACGAGAAAGGCTGGTCCAAGACCGTCATGAGGACCCGTGTGATGCCTACACTCCAAGCCCAAGAAACTTGGACCTCGAATGGCTGCGAAATCACAGAAGGTTTCCGGCTTGGACCTGCTTGCAAACAGACACCTCCCTAAACCCTAAACCCTAAACCCTAAACCCTAAACCCTAAACCCACAAAAACGACCTGGCACTTGGCGCGTACAACATGTGGCATGGGCATTTCCAGGCTTGCGACTCACACAAGGAGTCCCCCGGTTGTTGCAGTGTAAGTAAGTAAGTAAGTAAGTAAGTAAGTACGTAAGTAAGTAAGTAAG